TGTAAAAGAAGCAGATGCATACAGTAATGTAAAATGAGGGATCCTACGGTAATGCACAAGAAGGGGAAGGTTCATCTTAAACTACTCTGAAGGGGGTTCATAGTCACTGCTCAGACCTTTGTTTTTCCTGTTGCTCTTCTTGTCAGATCTTTTCTGTTGTGGCTCAAAAATCACGACAGGCTTCTTTACACATCAGAGGATGAACATTTTCACAGTTACCAAAATGGTGCGATGTGGCCAAAAGGTAAATGTTCAATCAACACATTGAGAAAAAGCTTTAACTTCTAAGCGCCTCTTCACCAGCGATCGTAGGTGTCTTTTCAACTTGCTCTCCAGGACAGGACTAATTATGATCAATGCATAAAAACAATAGTACTACATGGATGTGACACCTGAAGGTTGATTGATGTTATCGGTTTAGCAGAAACAGACAAGTTTCCAAGAGGGTTGTTGGTTTGATTTCTGCTCAGAATTTGCAGCACATGTTCCAACCAATTGCTTCAGTTCATTAAATAGGCCTGCATTAAAAAAACACTCATTACCTTAAATTTTAAAAAAAACTGCAACGCAACATAATGCAGCAGCTACTTATTGTTTCACCTTTGAATGCATTCATGTGGTAATCAGACTGGACTTAACATTGTGTTTTATTGTCTAACTGCTTTGACACACACCTGCGTTTGGTCTGAATCCTCAGAAGCAAAACTTCTCGCTGGTTTCACTGCTTAAGGTTCATCACTGTCGCTTTGAAATATTGCATAATAAAAGTACACCGGCCGGCCTCAACCTTAAACGCACTGAGTGGGGACGTGAATAACGCTGATCGTCTCATTGCAATGCAATGTTCTGCTGGGAAGCCTTGAAACCTGGGACACATACCACCCACCTGAACATTGTGTCAGACCCACCAAGGCAACAGCGTTCTCTGACAGCAGCTTCCTTTAGTGGTGCAACGTGCCCTGATGTATTACAAAAACTACTCAGGAACAGATTTAGACACACAACGAAGGTGTGAACTCAGCCAAACTCCCCAGATCCAAAACCGATCGAACATCTGGGAGATGCACCGGAGAAGGTCCACATGCAGGACACAAAGATCTGTTGCTACCCCCTGTTGGTTCTGTCAGCGTCCTGGTGGCTCAGAACTTTTTTTTTTTTTTTTGGTGGGAGCCTTCACAATCAGGTTGTGGCTGATTGGTCGAGACAAAACCATTAAAAGGCTTTTCATATTCATGGATTTACCAACAAGTTTGAGATTGTAGGGACTGCAAAAGTAGAGTCCATTCAAATTCAACATTTTTTTTATCAAACTCAGCGATTTCAAGGTCAGCCAACTTTCCATGTCCAATACGTGTGCGCTGAAAGCATGATTAGCATTCTGTCCTGTACACGAGTACGAACTTTAGGATTCAAGGAGAAAGCCGGAATATGGGAAGGAGCAGTGAGAGCAAGAGGGATGGAAAATCTGTGACGTTAACTCGCTAAATATCAACCACCGCTTCGACTTAAATGCTAACAATAGCAACTCATTATTAGCACCAACATTCTGATGCTAACAGTGTGCTAACCAGGCCTGCATGATAATACGCAGGAAAACTACATGTAGTCAGGCTGTCTTCTCTTTCAGAGCATCACATCAATAAAATATAACAGGACACTCAATAAGGTGAGTTCCCATCCAACCAATAATTCATGCATCATTTTAAGACGCGGCTTTGAGAATCAGCAACATCAGCACTGTCGTCGTCTTCTGTTTTTAACTGAGAATATATGTTTGTATCTCTGAGTGATTTATAATATATGTAACTTTCTTTTAGCTAAAATGTAAATTTGTTTCGATTGGACTGTATGATGATTGAGCAATTTTAAATTCCTAACAACTCGTGCTGATGAAAAGGAACCGTTTGCCTTATTTGAATGATCATTAAGAATATTTTTTTGTTCTCAAATAATTAATCAGAAACTGAAATGGCATTTAGTTTGGCAGGTGTGGGGTCAGAAACTGAAGTGTTGGACAAACTGAAACCATAACATCCATCCATCATCTCTACACTTTAATCCTCACTAGGGTGGTGGGGGGCTGGAGTCTATCCCAGCTGACTCAGGGTGAAGGCAGGTTCACCTGGACAGGTCACCAGTCTATCACAGGGCTACACTTAAAGACAGACAACCAAGCACACTCACATTCACACCTACGGACAATTTACAATCACCAATTCACCTCAGCATGTTTCTGGACTGTGGGAGGAAGCCGGAGAACCCGGAGAGAACCCACGCTGCACGGGGAGAACATGGAGACTCCACGCAGGAAGATCCCAGGTGGCGAACCGGCGGCCTTCTTGCTGTGAGGCAACAGTGCTACCAACTGCGCCACCTTGCAGCTAAAATATTTCAGTGAAACCAGAGTTGCATCCTTTGCATAGCTCCGCCCACAATGACTGTGGATAGTTTAACCCTGTTCAGGACTTTTGGGTCTTTTGGACCCCGGGCCATTTGGTTTAGGTGGCAGGTGTTGTTTTTTAAATATAAAAAGAGGGACATTTGTCGTGCATTTGGAACCAAAAATACCCCAACTTATCAGCAAATTTATTTAACATCGTATAAAAGTCTATAATGAATACCAACTAATATTTTGCACATATTCTTTCTTGGGGTCCAGTGGACCCCGAAAGACCTTCTACGTATGGAAACATGGAAGTCCTGAATAGGGATAAATAAATACAAACAAGCCAGAGCACTGGTTTGTTTTGTTTTGTTGTTTTTTTTCCTGCCTGTAGAAGAATGACGGTGCAAAGTGAGACCAGTTCGGATCAGGTTCCTCCTCTGGGGACCATGAATGTCTTTGTGTCGTCACACTCCAAAAGTAAAATGTGTGATGCATGCCAAAACAAAATCTTTTTCAAGAAATAAAATAAAACATCATTTCATTTTTCGACGTTTTGATTGCATATCCACGGATACACACAGCTCATCTCTGCAAGTGTGAATGAAAAATTGGGCGAGGCGGGGGGGAGTTGTTTCTATTTCTATGCACCTTATACACATTCAGACCGCAGGTTTCAGGGTCAAAGCAATCTCAACCTTAATTTTCCCACTGCTGCAATATGAGGACTTTCCCAGGAAAAGTAATAGAATGGATAGTGACAATGTATGGAGTCTCAGTAGGACAAAATGATGAAAGTGTGTGAGTGTGTGACTGGAAGAGAGGGAGGGAGAACAAAAGGTGGAGAGACGAGGGATAAAAAAAAAAAAATGAATATGATGCTGTGATGGTGAGGAAAGAGAGAGAGAGAGAGAGAGAGAAGAGAGAGAGAGAGAAAAGAGGTGGAGTGAACACCAGCCGTCAAATACGGGAAGTCGAGGCAGCCGTGACGCACTGGAGCACCAAAGCGCTCGGGATAAAGTGTCAGAAAAAAAAAAGTGCAGGATGCAGAGAAATGCCATGATTGCACATCCTGTCTCATTTCTTCAAAGCGTGGTCAGCCTGTGAATAAGAAGAGGATAAAGCCAACAAACTACAGGTGAGTTTCTCTGTGTGTGTGTGTGAAGTTCTCTGAATAAGTCAGTTGCATGTTTCATACATATACAATCCACTGTGGAAATTCTAAACACAAGTCTTGCTGGAGTATGTGGTCTGCTTAACATAAAGCTCCAACAGGACATTTGTTTGCATTGCTTCTTGTAAACTACTTTTTTTTTCTTTTCTTTGTGGGAGTATACTAATCAGATTTAGGAAAGCAGAATTAGACATGCATGATTACATGAGGAGAACATGACAGGTTGTGTTGAACATTTTATTCATTTCATTTATTCATTAAACTCATTAGTTTTTTTTTTTTCAGCAGCGTGTTGCTTCCACTTACGTGCACAATTAGTTGCCGGTTGAAAGCCGAAAGCCCAGCACGAGTCGGTAACAAGAGGCTGCGAGTAAAGTGCTTATTAAGATATCACTTAGCTACACCTGATGTTCTTCTTCTTTTTTTTTGTTTTGCAAAATGTAAAGTTCAATTTGATAACAAACCAATTTAATTATTAAATGTCCAACCCTGAGAAGTCATTGCATACCAGATTGTTTTATTATAATGATAATAATAATATATTTTATTCCTAGATTTCATTTCTTATAATTTGTGGAATCATTGGGGGGGATCTCATTTCACTCCTCAATACTTTTCCGTGTCTACATCTCCATGAATCATGCATACAATTATTATAAATGTATGATTCACGCATGAGGGTGATTCATCACTGATTCACTTTAATAAAGACACCAGCAGACATCGAAGCGTTGCATCGCCGCATCACAAACTTCACACACTCAGAGATCAGGGGAAAAAACAAAACAAAACAGAAGAACAATGTTTTCTTATTTGCATTATTCATGTTTGTATTAATAGGAATAATGATTATTAATAGCTAAACCAAGCGCTTCATACATGTTGCATCAGGCGTTTGTAAACCATGAAAAAGTGGAAATAAGTGACCTCCCCCCGAAAGGCATGCTGCGGTTCACACACTGTCAAGGACGCTTAGTGTTTGCAGAGAAAGAAGTCGCAGCTCAGCAGGAGTCTCATTAGGAATCTGATCCTCTAAATTTCCCAGATCTAGACAATCACTTTTGACAAGTGTGAACAAGGTGATGACTTAATCTGTCTGTGCTTTTTGTATTTTAAAGGGGCATATGAGTAATTTAGTGCTTAACGTCCATAAAGTTGAGTCTTCCAGTAGATCCTCTCTGCCCGATGGATTCATCTTTTCTCTCATTGTTAATTCATATGTTCAAGAACTGCCACAGGATTTTGCTGATGACCAAACTGAACTTTTGTTTGCAAAAACGAAGGAGCTTTCATTCTTTCTGTTATTTTTCATCAGGTTTAAGAGGATCCATCTTGCCAGTCACCAGGATGCCAGAGCTCAACTGCTCCCGTGATGTTCTTTCCACAAAAGGTGATGTAGTGTTCAGTGATGCTGGCTGCCCCGAGGCTGCTGTGCTGTGTGGGATGAACGTCTCCTGGGTCGTGGCTAACGCTACTGAAGAGGAACTGGATCAAATGTGCCTTAGTGTGACAGACTACCTGGCTGGACATCTGGGGACTCCCAGGTCTCCTGCGTTTCTTCCCGTCTGCATTACCTACCTCGCCATCTTCTTGGTGGGTGTCCTGGGCAACTTGCTGACCTGCGCGGTCATTCTGCGCTACCGGGTGATGCAGACGCCCACCAACTACTACCTGCTGAGCCTGGCCGTGTCCGACCTGCTGGTGCTGCTGCTGGGCATGCCGTTGGAGCTCTATGAGATGTGGCAGAACTATCCCTTCCTGTTTGGGGAAGGAGGCTGCTACTTCAAAACATTCCTGTTTGAGACCGTCTGCTTTGCCTCCATCCTCAACGTCACGGCGCTCAGTGTGGAGCGCTACGTAGCCGTGGTGCATCCACTCAAAGTCAAACACATGACCACGCGCGCTCACGTCAAGAGGGTCATCCTGATGCTGTGGGGTCTGTCCATGCTGTGCGCCGGGCCAAACACCAGCCTGCATGGGATTGTGGTTCTGCCTCCGATGTTTGGCCGCCAGTTTCCCCAATCTGCTATCTGCCGTACGTACAGAATTTAGATTTTATTCCTCTTACATCTCCATGGTAACTGCTCTGTAAGGCTTGCTTACGGTTGCTTTGCTTACCATCTTGATACAGTGAGACGGTAAACACAGTCAGTAGGGGTGCAACGAGTCACAACATTCATGGTTTGGATTGTATAATTGCTTCAGTCATGGAGAGCAACATTTTTCAGACTTGCAAATCAGGGCACTGGCCTTGGCAGAGGACGACACTCTCTGAGGGACCCGTCCAGTTTCTTTAAAAAGCAAGAGCAGCAGTATTTCACACTATGGTGGATCAACTTTTATTAATCAGCAGTTCAACATGACTGCCAAACCGTGTGAGGGTTTCTGTTGGGATAACAGATCAACAAGGGTCCATCAGTTCTTTTGTAAGCATATTGGACAAATTAAGTTTGACCTGATAGTGGTGCTACCTAAAGAACATCTGTACAAAACTCCACCCAAGAGTCATTGCTGTGTTTCACTCAAGGATTTTGGAAATCATTGTCAAACATAGTCTGGGACCATAAATCAAACTTGGTGCAAACACACTGAATAAACACATTTCAGGCACTAGATAGGAAGTCAAGGGACAGTTGTCTAGATAACTTCGCACTGTACCACAATTCATGGCAGTCCATCCAACAGTCAGTCTGTTTAGGTAAAAACAAAAAAAATGTCTTCTAATTATGCTACAGGAGAATTCACTAGGATTCAGCGAGGCAGTCCATCTCATAGTAGTCCAACAGACCAACCAGGAAGCCCCTTGTTGCACTTCTAATATGGCTAAAAAGAGCTGAGAGCTTGTACAGTGGCATGTGAAGCTGAAATACTCACATCACACCTGGTAAAGTGATCCCACTGAGTCATCTCTCCTATCCTCCTCAGATGTGATCAAACCCACCTGGATGTACAACCTGATCATCCTGATCTCCACGGTGGTCTTCTTCCTGCTCCCCATGCTGATCATCAGCATCCTCTACCTGCTCATCGGCCTGCGGCTGCACAGGGAGAGGGTAATGATGCCGGTGGATGCTAGCAGTAGCTTCACGTCTGAAAGCATCTCCAGTTCTCACCAGAAGAAGCTGAGCAAACGCAACCTGCAAGTCACCAAAATGCTGTGTAGGTGCTATTTTAGTGACTTTATTTAGCAAGTTGCTAAGCAGCAGAAGACAGAATTTTAATTGACTGTGGATCTGTGTGTGCGTGTGTGTGTGTGTGTGTGTGTGTGAGTGTGTACCTGTATTACTCACAGTCTGTTTACTCTGTCACATTGTGGGGACTTTTAGGGACAAAAAGTAAGTTAAGGTATATTGTGAATTTTAATGCGGTAAGGAAAATGGAAGTCAGTGTTCTGTGACATGATGAAACCAGGCTGTAGGTATGTGCGTACAAGTGCTAATACCATTTGTTCTCATGTGCTATTTTCAACCTATTGACCATTTTACTGCTTTAAACCTAGATTTTCATTCGTCCCAGCTTTGTCTTGGTGTTAGACCTGACGTGACATTTCTCGATTTGTCTTCCTGTCCGGCTGACGGTGGCTCTCGACTTTCTCCCGTCTGCTCCAGGTGTGCTGGTGGTCGTGTTCGGCCTCTGCTGGGCTCCCTTCCACTTGGACCGCCTGACGTGGAGCTACATGAACATGTCGTCCGAGGAGCACATCAAGATCTTCGAGCACGTCCACATCATCTCGGGCGTCTGTTTCTACCTGAGCTCCGCCGTCAACCCCATCCTCTACAACCTCATGTCCACCAGGTTCAGGGAGATGTTCAGTCACATCACGTGCTACTCCAGCAGCTGGTCGTCCCACTCCAACTCTCAGGTGACCCAACGCAGCACCTTGAGCTTGAAGAAATGGACTTAATATTGGACTTTTGAGGCGCTGAAGGAAGTGACGAATTAAAGGGAAACTGAATTGATGTACACAGGTTGGGGTTGGGGAGTTGATGTTGTATGCTGTGGCGTGGTTATCTGTATGTTTTGTGTGCAGCTTGTTCAAACAAATCACCCACTGGGACAATAAAGACTATGTGAAAGTGGAATAATGCGATTAATATATGGCATGTGTGACTCTCAACTCACGTATGGAAGGTACTGGACTGACAATATGAAGGGTAGTCTCACTTTGTTAGCCCGTTGTACAGTACATAACGGTCCAGCTCACTCCGCTGTAGGGGAAAAAACACTCTGGCTTGTTTGTGTTTCTTTAAACAAATCAAAGTCATTGTGGCGGGGGGGCTAAACAAAGGCTTTGGCGTTCCCTCAAGAAAGTGACAGGTGGAATTGTTGCGGTTGAACATTTGCACGCAGGGAGACGAGCATTGTGATTATAATGGATAATCCACTGCAAAAAAAAATAAAAAAACAGTGAGGCTGCCTTACTGCACGATCACAATCCTCTGCAAAGCTTTTCAGTGCAGTAGGGTGCAGATAGCGAAAGGAAGGTTCATGCCTGCGTCCGCTGAGTCGACCTGATAGCCGAGTGGCCAACACCACATGGGCGCAAAAGTCGGTAGCTTGATTACCAGCCTATCATACCCCCTAATCTTTTTTCCCCCCATATTTCCTTTCTCTCTCCACTGATGAAAATGCCACATATAAAAAAAAGAAAAACATTTGAAAGTAAGAACACCAAATGATGGAAGATCTCTTGGGAGTTTGGTGCAGCAGCGCTCGAAAACTTCAAGAAACATCACTCACATGATCGGCATCAAAAGCTGCCAACACCTTATAGAGTTTGTGTCGGTTTTTCCTTTAATTTGTCACCCCATCTGCGAATGTTTAAGCAGCCTGAAGACACTCGGATGGAAAAATCTTAACCCCAAAGGGAAGGACTGTCAATACAGATAAGCAGACTTTACACACCCTGTGACCAAAGGCTACACGACAAGCCTCAAGAGGCACACTTAAGGAAGAAGTCAGCATATTTGCATGCTGCACGCTCTCCTGCAGCGTCTGGAAGTCCTCCAGACTCCAGAAACAAACTGCAATAACACAAATCACATCGAGATAAACGACCAATAAGAACACGCACTGAGTGAGGCGAAACGACGATGAGGTCGACGTTTGAATGAACAAGGACATTACCATATAAATAATAAAACAGCATCTTTATGCATGGGCAACGTGACCCAACAAGTGTCGCAAACGTAAATGTCTGTTTGCGGTGTAGGTGAATGTATTTATTGCAGATACTGTATAATGAGGAGCACAGCGTTTCCAGCCCTGCCTATTTATTACCGTGCAGCTCTGAGTGCCACCATTAAGCACAGATCGGATACGCACACACACTCCTGATTAGAAAAATAAAAGATCACGAATGAATCAGAGGTGAAAATGTAGTCAATTAAACGAAAACAGGGGGCCACGCATCAGGTGGTTTGTTTATGACATTTATACCCGACAATGAAGCTAATCGTGAGTCATTTAAATTATAATCTGAAAACACCTGCGGGATAAATTATATTCCACTTCTCATGTCACCGCACACGCTAATACGTGTGTTATGTATCGTAAAATGCACATTATCAGCACATGTAAATGAAATCTTTATCGTAATTTTAAAAATGCTTGTTGCCAGGTCTGAAGGGTCACACGGATGCATCGCTCATCCAATATAAATGGTCTCATTTTAATTGCATGAGCGTATAGGATGTGAATATTTATCATGTTTTTTCACAAGGTGCGGGATGTAAGGCGGTTATTCTGTCCTGTTTGATGAAAGCGTGCACCCTTGAAACGGAGCGTGGTTCCCTGACCTGCTTTCAAACATAGGTGCCTGCAGAGCCATTGTTCTTGTTAGCGCTCTAACTCGGAGAGAAAAGAGCACAACGAGTCTTTTGCTCTTTGTTTTCATGGACAGATTCCTATAGAGCCACCAGCTCAGGGACGTGAGTGTCTCCTGTGTAAACACTACAGTTCAAGTATCGGTGGCCGGGCGGTTTGACTTACGAGCAACAAGCCGTGCCAAGAGAAGAACCTTTTCCACCGGGATGTCTCGTCTCGACTTCCAGCGAGCGCGAAAGGGAAAAAACTAATTTGCACACATGGAGATGATGACAGCGAGGGGTAGGGAGCTAAAGGGGAAAATGATGTCATTAATATGGAAAAAATGAAACAACGAATGAGGAGATGAAGTCGGATGTGACAGAAGATGATCCAGTTGTTGAATACTGACAAATCACTTTGTAATGACACAGCGCTATCGTCGTGCCCCGCCAGCGCTAATGAAGGCCTAATCTACCCACAGCTTCCATCACCACAACAGAAAACACTGTTTACACGCTGCCTCTGCAAATAAACCCACTTAACAGGCCGCATCAAAGTATCGCCCAAGTAATGGTATTCACTTGAGAGCGAGGTTATGATTAGCGCCCGTGGCACTCTGATAAAATACTTTGAAGCAGACTATCATTTAACTTTAAAGAATTATGTGAGCAGAATGTGTTAAATAAAAAAAGGACAAATCGGCCCAAAAGAGAAGTGTGACGGGTTTCATTTCGAACCGAAAACAATAAAAAGCTGTTAAATAGGAGATGTACGAGGGAGGAAAAGAAATACTTCTTGGCCTCACTTCATCTGATCAAACTCATCCTACATGGATTTTTTTTCCCAGAATTCATTTACATACATCATCCTGACATGTTTTGACTCACGACATAATGAAAAGCAGAATTACAATTTTTAATTTAGGAACTTAATTGACAGTCAGCGCGACGGTGAACTCACGCACCACCTCTATTAAAGCCGCCGACGATAAGAGAAGGTAACCTTCAAGCCGCGGCACTCAATGTTCCGGTGACACCAAAGTGATAATTGAAGACATGTGCCTGGACAAGGGATAATATAGGAGCACAAAAGACGATCATTAAAGATACGGAGGAGGAGATGTGACTTGCTGCCAAAAGGATGATGTGAGGTGTTTCATAATGAGATGAGTGTATTTTGTGGATGGTGATACTGTCGTAGCAGTTGAGAACAAAGACAGAGAAGACATGAGGCCAGTTGATCTGATGTGCTGAGTAGCGGCCAGAGTGCTTCAGTTCCAGTCAGGACAGTTTGAATTCAGTTTAAGTAGCAATAGACAGTTTGTATGAGGAGGTTGTTCACGCAGAATTGTACTTAAAAGAGTCTGAAAAGTACCTTCAACCTGCATTCTTTCTAACGTCCAGCAGGGGGCGACTCTTTTGCTCATGAACTGAAATCCAATTTTAAAGAAGTCAGTGAGAAAATGACCCTATTTCTTACCTGTTCTGTTATCTCAGTGAACATATTCCTGATGATTTCATATTCTCAATCTATACTTTAAAGTCTCCTTCAACGCAGCATGATGTTCTTTTTGTAAATTATGGTCCCGTTTAGAGTCAAACAGACAATAAAGCAGGGTGTGTGTGAGGGCGTGGCTACCTTGCAATCGACAGGATTTCTACCTCACTGGCATGTCTAGTCACAGCTCCAGTCTTAACCTTCTTGTAGATTGATCAGGGACGCCCAATGATGTCAAACATGTTGGACAATTAGGAGTTAAAATGCGGATAGCTACGATTGTCACTCAAGCTTCGCTAAATACTCCACCGTGGCAACAGATATGAAAACTTATAATAAAAATCGCTGTTCCCAGTGAAGAGTAGACGAACCCTTTTTCGACCATTTTAACATTGAGACTCATTCAGCCTTTTTCTCATTGCAAAGTATCGTTAGCGTCGGAGCAAGCCGTTGCACCACGCTCTCCGTTTTGTTTACATCTGCTTCCCCGTGAGGTGGTGCACTGCTCCTTGACTGCCTCATTATTCATCCATTAATTCCTTCCATCCATCCATCCATCCATCCATTATCTATACACTGCTTAGTCTATTGGAGTCGATCGGCAAAGGCAAGGCACATCCTGGACAGGTCACCAGTCTATCACAGGGCTACACTTAGAGACAGACAACCAAGCACACTCACATTCACACCTATGGACAATTTACAATCAGCAATTAACCTCAACATGTTTCTGGACCTCGTGGGAGGAAGCCGGAGAGAGTCCACACAGAAAGATCCCAGGTGTCCTCACCAGGACACGACCGGCGACCTTCTATCTGCGAGGTAACGATGCTAACCACCGAGCCACCTTCCAGCCCCTCCCTGACTGCCCCCTCCCTCAGTAATATTCTGCAGTTTGTGCATGTATGAGATTAGAAAGAAGAAAATCTGTGAAGTTTCTCCGATAGCGTGCGACGCAACCCAGTTTCAAAATTAAAACTCCTGCAGCGTGGGCCTGGCTTTCATCAAGCTAAATAAACGACGGATTAAATTGCTGTGGGTAATGTGAAAGCGACAGCCACCGAAAATGATCGTTTACCTCTGCGGTACCCCACAGCTTGTTGTGTTTCACCGTCTTTAAGCTCATTATTTTTGGTTTTACGGCCCATTTGGTTCGCATTCACCTCTCCTAATAACTTCAATTTCTGTCAGCAGGTTCAGTAAAGACCAATGTTAGCGGCCCCGCGCCAAACGGCGTACAGCACTTTAGGAGAATTAAGTTCATTAAACTCGACAAAGAGTGCAGCATGCGTCAGCCTCTCATCCAGCGCATGCTCTCACCGCCTCCTTTTGTGACCCTGAACATAAGTGGGTGTAGCAAATGAATGAATGGATGGAAAAGAAGTGTGGAAGGAGGAGGGGAGCGTGATTATATGTGTGACTTCAGATTCTAGAGCAAATGTCAGCCGGAGAGGAATGAATTTCCTTACAAAGAAGCCAGGCCGGTGAAGGATAATCTGAGAAACATAATTCGAAGGCATTTCCTCTACCTCCCTGCGGCAAATTGCTCGAACCCATCAGTATAGAAATGTCAAGGTTGTGCCACAACATTATTCAGATGCAACGCCGCACAACAAGCTCACAGAAGAGCCCGCAGGAAAATGTACTTACAGCACTACGACAAACCTCGGCGTAAGCAAAAAAGAAAAGGTAATGTAGAGACGGTAGATATTGTGAGAATAAAGATAAAAGGGATATAAAAGGTACAGGGATTGAACTCTGGGAGCACTTCTTCATTTTCTCCTTGTTTTAGCGGCGGGTGGGATCAGACATTTCATGAAAGTCAGGTAAATCCCAGGACACAATTATTCTCCCTACATGTCTGCTAATCTGACGTACGAATGATTTATATGCTTCCAAAGTCAAGAGGGCAAAAGTGGAGGAAGTTATGCTAGAAGCAAGGCTCAAGGGATGGCAATGTCAGTGAGCGGTTTCCTTATCATCTTTGGCAAAAACTGAAATTGTAACGTGTTTAATCGGATGCATTTTGTATAAAACTCATTCACATTGGTGGATTTCAATTAATTGTCCACACTTGGATTCGTGAGTATCCTTCAAACTAATTACACCCATAAGCCTCAACACGTGTACATGTTAGCATGCATTCAGCTCAAAGCTAGCATTGCTGTAGATTTGATGCCATAAAAAAAACCTGTGCGGGCTGCAAGATGGATCAGTGGTTAGCACCGTTGCCTCGCAGCTTAGAAGGTTGCCGGTTCACATCCCGGTGAGGATACCTGGGAGTCTCCATGTTCTCCCCGTGCAGCGTGGGTTCTCTCCGGGATCTCCGGTTTCCTCCCACAGTCCAGAAACATGTTGAGGTTAATTGGTGATTGTAAATTGTCCGTAGGTGTGAATGTGAGTGTGCTTGGTTGTCTGTCTCTAAGTGTAGCCCTGTGATAGACTGGTTACCTGTCCAGGTGAACCTGCCTTCACCCTGAGTCAGCTGGGATAGACTCCAGCCCCCCACCACCCTAGTGAGGATTAAGAAGTGTACAGATAGTGGATGGATGGAAACACCTGTGTTCCTCAGCATAGTGCTTTGCCTCGTTTGACTGAACTGATGATGTGAACACGCTAAAGGTTGGAGACTCGACTGCAGCAAAATTGCAAAATGTAAAGAGTCAGCTGCATAGTTTTCTATAAGAAACCAAATATCTGCTTCAGGGATGTGTAGACAGCTGCTGCCACATCAGTTTGACTGTGAAAGTCGTGTACCTGCATGCTGGTCACATTGTTTAAACACAGCATAGATATGATCTGTTGTTTGACAACTTGTCATAAAAAGCAGAACTGATGGAAAGCATTCAAACAAACCATCCATCCATCATCTCTACACCTTAATCCTCACTAGGGTCATGGGGGCCTGGAGTCTATCCCAGCTGACTCAGGGTGAAGGCAGGTTCACCTGGACAGGTCACCAGTCTATCACAGGGCTACACTTAGAGACAGACAACCAAGCACACTCACATTCACACCTACGGACAATTTACAATCACCAATTAACCTCAGCATGTTTCTGGACTGTGGGAGGAAGCCGGAGAACCCGGAGAGAACCCACGCTGCACGGGGAGAACATGGAGACTCCATGCAGAAAGATCTCGGGTGTCCTCACCTTGACGCGACCCGGCGACCTTCTAGCTGTGAGGCATCGATGCTAGCCACCTTGCAGCCCTCAAACAAACCAAAAAAACTTCAAACATAAACTCTTTGAAATCACATGATTATGAGATTATACTGTATAGATTATGTAAAGTAAGATTTTTAGAAACTCGATGGTCACTGGAAACTCAGTGTGCTTCACTTCCACAGTATCCATCGTTCTCTTTATCCCACTTCTGCCTGTTTTATAGCAACTCCCTCACATGTTTCTGTGAGCTGTCCAACGTGTCTCCTGATGCTCAGCATGCTCTCGTTTACTCTCTGATCTGGAACCCTCAAGTTGTCTCTGATATTACACGGAATTTTTGTCTGCCGCATTTTTCAGAATACATTTCTAATCTGCTGAAATGGTTTACATCAGTGTTTATATCCGCCAGGAGAATAACTCACATTTCAAATCACAGCATTTGTTCTTGATACGACTCAGGGCCCTGCTGCCTTTCATCCAAACGTCTTATCGGGAAATGATTTACTCTTCATCCACAGCAGTTTGCAAAAGCAAATATCAAGTATGACAGAAACTCAGAACTGTGGGGACCATAAAGCAGTAAATTACAGACTAATACACCGCACTGTAGCGTTCTCATTCCCTATAACTATATACTAGCTGTTTCAACTAATTAGCAGCAGAAAGCACAATCCAGAGAGATGGATCTGTTTCCCCTGGAATGGACCAAGACAACAAAAGCACAGATGAGGTTTCCTTTTGTAATTTGCGAATTGGAGTTAAGCGCGTTATTACCTATAGGGATTGTTTTTATCCACTACTGAGGGTGCAGTTAATTAGGTTGGACAGCAGCGGGCTTTGTTTCTGTTTAATTACATCTGAGCTTAATTTATTTGGGATTGTGATGAACCCCGGCCCCGTCAGCACATAATACTGGGTATAATTTCTTTTTTTTTTGTTTATTTGGATTAATGAACATGTGAGTTTCTCTAATTTGGATAATTTTTTTCTGACAGTTTGTGCCGAACGAGTTGATCCGTGAGCTGATGGGATTGTGCTGAGAGGCTCTCATTAAACACAGCAAACGACACCTACAGCCTTAAAACTGCGGCTACGCTTGATTTGATTCAAATGCAATCAAGTCCTGCTTACTTGGGGAGTGTGACTTTGTGAGAAGAACAGTTCAGTCTGCTGTTTGTCAGGTCTTGTGAATACGTTACAGTCGGAGAAACTGACATGAAAACAGTTTTTACCTTTGTTTTGATATGACTTTAATTGTATAAAAGGGCAGAAACAGCATGTTGTGAGTCAGTCGTTGAACCGTAACCACATCTGCTGTGAAAAATGAACCATCGTAGTCGGAACTAATATAAAAAGCATCACAAAAACAAAGTAAAAAGCCCTTTTTTCATGCTAATAAAGAAACGGAATCAAACAGGAAACAAGAGCTCCCTGCAAATGACCCCAAACAGCTTACAGTTCAGTACCAACATGTTAATATTCAGTAAAAGCAGCAACCAAAGCAATAATAATAAAGCGCAGGGTTCTGGACAAAACAAACAGCGAGGAACAAAGAAGAGAAAAAAACATCGATTGCTACAGAGAATGTAAAATAAAAAAAGAAGAGCTCCCTGAGGCAAAGGTGTAGGAGATGCAGACGGCGTGTTACGCTTCAGAGGTTTTTTGGACAGTACTTTTTCTCAAACTGGGCTACGTTAAACTTCCGAAGGCAGCCTTTGTAGTTCATGTAGCGGATTTTTCCGAAAATAGGCCTCTCTCCCCATCCCCGGTCGTGGATGCCGCAAATAGACCACATGCAACCTGCGGGGCGGAAAACACAGCAGGGAGGGTTTGAATACGAGAACAACTGATTAAACAAGTGACGCGTCTGATGAAATAATTAGTTACCGACGAAGCCGTTGGGGTCCTGGCCGTCCAGCTCGTAGCGGTCATTGAGGTACAGAGCGATGGAGAGCGCCTCCACTGGTGAAGAAGTCCACTCCAGAATCTTCTTGGCCCAGTACATCCTCAGGAAACCATGCATCTTCCCCTCACTGACCATCTGGTACTAACAGAGCGACGGATTGGTTATTAAACATGCTCGAATCGCTCACGGCAAGCTCTAATTCAGACTGAACGTTGTACCTGAGCTGCGTTCCACAGCTTGTCGTGAGTTTTTGCTTTCTCCAGCTGCTCCTTTGTGTACAGGTAGGGCCTCTTGTCTTTGGCGTGGTCTTTCAAGGTCTTGCGAGCCCACTCGTACGCACCTGAGAACCACATACAGCAGTGTTTTAGGAACTCTGGAGCTGAATCTTTTTTCTGTTCAGTTTCTATTCATTTAAAGATTACTTAAGCCATTTTCAGCCTGTGCTTGACAGTGGCAGTGAACAGAGACAGAAAATGGGAAAAAAACGAGCTGGAAAGCGACTCGCGGCAAATGGAAACAAGCAGCAGGGAATCGGGGGACTCGCTGCTCGAAGGCATAAGCACCCATGTGGCATTCCCTCCAACCGCCCGCCCATCAGGTCGCCCAAGTTTCTATTAATTTAGACAAATTAATTCAGCCAGTGAGCAGGTGACTCATCCGAACGATGCCACTAATGGGACACTTGTGGCTCCGGAGTGAACGGGATGCAGCTTTTAATGAGATCTCCACTGACCCTCCACACTGTCGTATTTCTCGTTGTAGAAGCAGAAGTTGTCCGTCAGCTCCCTTCGCACCACCAGCTCCTCGATGAACGAGGCGACAGACACACCTGCCGTCCTCCCGCTGCGCTGAACCTGCAGAGCCACGCGCTGGGCTGAAATGTGGCCTGATGGGAGGAAAAAAGAAAAAACGTGATTGAACAGGAGAAGAAACAGGCAGATAAAGATTGCGAGGAAGCGTAGTAGGAGCATTCAGGGATCTGGTCTATCACGCAAATGGTGACGTTAAACGTAGGCTTTGTGGATGTCAGGGGAAGCTTGATCTTTTCATAAAACCAGAGTGTCTAGAGTAATGAATGGCAGTGTGGTACAAGGGATAGTTTGGTTTCTTTGAAGTCAGGTCTGTAGTCGGTGTAATACCCACAGCAGATTACAGCTGGCTTCCCCCCAGTTTGAAGGCTGCTGGCAGGGAAGCCAAGCGATGTGCTGCTGTGAACGGCAACAAACCATACTGTAGCTGCCTGACAAAGAGGTCCATCCAAAAATACTGTCAGGTCAGTGCCATATTCTGAATATTCTCACTGCTAAACAGATATGTGCCATGTTGGTCATAGATCCAGTGGTGTCACCTTATGTGTAGGAATACGTACGTTCTGTGGTTAAGAAAATGTAGTGCTGCAGGAAAGTGTTGTCTGACAGCGAGGAAGAGCAGCGACGATATTTTAAGTACACAGACCTTTGTTTTTTGGTGGATAGATCAGTTTTGCTGCTAACCCCATCACCCAAACCACAATCTACTCTACGTAACACCCTGACTATGGATAGAAAGCTTATAAAATTTAATTTGTAAGAAACTATCCCTTTAATGATGGTGGCAGCACAAGCACACAAGACATCTCTGTTTTTAAACATAGAATGTACAGTAGATTGTGTAACAGATTTTTGTTTTGACAGGAAGAACAACTTCTGTTCTGGTGTAAGAATCCAGTTTCAACTTTTGAGTGAAAAGTTCAGCAACAACACTGGAGTCGAATTAATGTCAGAATGTTTTCAAAGGGTGGTATCGTCAGCATAGATACAGACACGATGATGTTTAGTCGGGAAATAAATGTCATTTTATCTATGAAGTAAACAGCAGAGGTTTTAATACTGATCCTTGTGGAACACCATTAGCATCCATCCATTATCTATACAACGCTTAATCCTCAGTAGGGTCGCAGGGGGGGCTGGAGCCTATCCCTTCACCATTTGGGTGTGATATAAAACAAACGGTCTGAACTGATCAACAGCATCAGAAGTCTTGCCGAGATCTGCAAAGAGCGTCCAGTGATTCTTTCTATTGAGTAGAAAGCAGCCATTATTGCAGGATGACTAAAGCCTGACTGTCGGCGCTCAAGGATATCATTTAATGATGTCTTTTCCTCGAGCAGTAGTTCAGCAGCGATTCAAGGACTTCAGACGCACAGAAAAGCTCAGATATAGGTTGAAAGTTATGAGAAAAGAGAGCATATATAAGAGCTAATACATCAAATGTTTTAATGGAAAACGTGTATTATCTTCACGCCTTTTCATGGCAGTACTGACCGAAGCGGATCCATGGCGAGAGCTGGCTGAGGGCGGGAGCGTTTGGGTCGTTGCGCTGTGTGTCGAACAGTTTAAGGCGTACATCGATGAAGGACTCCAACATGGCCATCCCTGCTTTGGTGCCGGGCTTTGCCCACTCGGTCTCTCCCACTGTTCTGTCGACCGACAGGGAGGCGAGAGTTTTGTCCCAGTCAACTGGCTGTGAGGTGAAGAAGAGAGAGAAGAAGAAAAACTCAGCAGAGGTCACAGCTGACAGCAATGAGCTGAAATATACGCTGTGGCGTTACAGAGGCAACTTCAAAAGCAGCCAAGAAAGTTCGGAGCCTTTCACCTCGCTCACAATATCAAGAGGCTCCAACCAGTGAGCGGCATATCAATCACAAGTCTGCAGCAAAAGCACACACCCCTGCAGCTTTAATAACCGGGGAAGGGAAAGAAATGTTCAACTTTTGGACAGTCAAAAAAAAAAATCTAGTGTCTATATTCACTCATCAATAAATAATGCGCAGAGAAAAAGAGACAGCTGAAGGTTAAAAGTAAGCACTTTTTTTGCAGCAGTCTAACTTCCAAACTCCCGATCAATGAGCTCACTAACGGCTTACTTTCCTTTGAATTGATTTTAGAAAACACCTCCAAAGCAATGAATATTTTAAGGCGAAAACGCATAACTTAACCGATCCAAAAGTCCTTGAACTTAGAAGAAAAAAACATAAATAAACGACTTCCTCTCTACTCCTTACATCCATGTTTATTCATTTCACGGTTACTGCGGCACTCACTTTGGCGGTTCTCGTAGCAGTGTGGGGGTGTTTCTCCACCAGGGGAAAATCAGTGAGGAAGTCTGACAAAACCTTGGTAATTTTCCCCCTGATGGTTCTGGCGGCGTACTCGAGTTTAGGTGATGCTTCCCAGCAGGGAACAATATTATGAGCATCAACCTATAAAAGGAAAACAAGAGATAATGGAGAAAAACTGACGGCAGAAACAAAGGCAATAACCATAAAATGTGAATGAGGTCAATAACATTGGGTTTCATGTGTGTTTGTTGGTGAATCAGTGTGATGAAGGCAAACAAAATGGTCTGTGGAAGGCAAAAATATTTAATAGAAAACAACCAGAGCATAGAGCATCTTGTCAACACATCCCTGGTAGTGAGAGTTATGTTTTTTTTTTAACCTGTATGAGGGGAATTTCCTTTGAAAGTCCCTTCTTGACGTCTTTCAGCCACTGTATCGGCTCTCTGAGGGGAGAGAAGTCCGTCACGACTGCACCGAAGCTTCGGTCAGACACGAACCCGGGCAGAACCTCCCCTGGTGCACCGTGAAGCAAGTGGAACTGGATGTTTAGGTGTTTGCATTCCTGTTTTGGTAGAAGCAGAAGAGCAAAGTTAGGGTGCACAAACTTGATCACGCATCATTTACATTTAACTTCAAATAATCCTTCATCATCACCTTGAATATTATCAATAAATATTCCTTTACTCAACAACGAAACAAGTAAAGTGACTATTTTATTGATTTGTTTATTATTAATTGCTCATTTATGCTGATTATTTAACTTTAAAACATCATACAATCGCAGTTTCCCACAGTCCAGGAGTTTATTTTCAAATTGCAGCTATTCAACAAACAGCAAAATTATTTCATTTTAAATAATAAAAGAAAACAAGGGCTGCAAATGTGCACGTTTATGACCAATACTCACTTCTCGGTTGTCTTTTTATTATTAGTTTAGGAAAATTGCAATTGACTCATCTGCTGTCAGTCATTTCCGAGTTTGAATGGAGCAAATAAAATATCAAAAACACCACGTTTCCATCTAAACATTATGCACTCCAGCAGAAAACGGTGTTCACTCTGGGGCTGTCAGGGTTTTAGATTTTCACTACATTATCGTGGGCAAATAAATTCACGATAACGACATTTTTGCATTTAAGAATTTAAAAAAAAAAAAGCTATCTGTGAAATTCATTCTTGTGTTTTTGTCTCTTTTGATAAATTAACTCAGAATATAAGCGTATAGAAGAGTAAAGAGAGACTGTAATCATAACTTCATTGCATGTTGTTTCTATCAGCCAGATAAATCATGTGTGTTACCAGTATATCAATATTTCATTTTTAAAATGCTGACCAACAGAAAGCAGTGAACGCATGTAGAGCCTGCATGCATAGGCAAAGATTTAATGGGGGACACAAGGGATTCTTCTGCCTCGGTATTCAGAACATGCGCATTTGCTTCTTCCCACTTTGTTTAAAAAAAAACAAACCCTGAACTCATTGTGCCTGAATTTTTACTTTGCATGGAGACATTTCCAACATAAATCAGTGCAAAAGACACAAATTGGTGCACAGAAATTCATGCAGGAAATTAAGTGTTTGATGCTCAAACTTTTCACATTTAGGACACCTAGAACCCTGCCTCCTCAAATGTTCAGTCTACACAGCGCACGCCTGCAAATGTAGGTGCTAATACTTGATCATTTGAATTTGAATGAATGCACTATAATGTATGTTTATACCTTTGCTACTTCTTCCAGCCCCTTCAGCATGAAGTTGTAGTGTCTCAGAGTGGACAACTGTGACTCGGGCACTACCAGACAGTAGCACACATGCAGGGGGAGGTTCTCCTTCATTGCGAGCCGCTGGGCCCGGATCAGCGCCCAGTTATCTAAATCACAGAAGCACAACGTTTCATCAGCACAGACACAGAGAACACCTGGAACTGCTTTAGTGATGGTCGAGATCTGTGTCTACCTTGCACTCTGTTGTCTCTCAACATCCAGTAGAGGACTCCCTCTGAGCCCTGCTTGATCTTCTCTACGCCAGATATGAAACGCAGGCGCTTTTTGTTGAACTTCATGTCGTTTTTCTCCGACCTCTGCTGCTGCACGAGGCTCTGCAGCCAGCCGGCATCCTTCTTCTTCTCCTCCTTCGCTGGAGCCAGCTTGGGCTGCTTGGCACTGGGCTCCTTACCGGCTGCTGCAGATGTAGCCTTGCGTTTCTTGTCTGACATGGTGGCTTCACTGGTCAGTGAGTCGGTGGAGAAAACTACAGGGCTGGGCCTCTGGTTGGGCTGAATGAGATGCTTCAAGAGTCGAGAGGAGCTGCAGGGAAGCACAGTTTTAGTTTAGTTTAGTTTATTAAGATCCCCATTAGCTGCAGCAAAGCCACAGCTGTTCTTCCTGGGGTCCAACAGGAAACAAGAAAACAGAAAATATTGTAAAAACAAAGCAAAACAAAAGCTAAGTGATCTTCACACTTCCTCACATTTTGATACATACAGTGAAACTTAAATTAACATAGCAGCAAACATGGAAAACTGCAAATACAAGACAAACTTGTTAAGAAATAAAACACAAAGCAAGCCACTAACACGACGACACTAGTGAACCCCTCATTCAAGCAAAGGTCGCCCGGGGTGATGTTTGTTTCAGCACATACCTCCTCCAGACGCAGAGCAGCATACGCGGTGCAAAGCTTCCGAGTAAAAGGTCGAATTATGACAAATGCGAAGATAAACCGAGATAAACGACAGACCGAAGCAGCGGCAGCAGTCTAGTCAAAGAACCGCGAACGCTATTTCCCTTTACACAACCAGTTACATGAGCACGCCGGTGTGCAGGTTTTGTAACATTGTTTTCATCCAATTCAACTACACTTCCCAGAATGCACGTCCTTTGCGGCGCATGCGCGGTGCCGTTTACGTTTGGAGGAGGTTCAGGTTCTGTTGTAGCGTAGCCTCGACAGTGACGAACAGCTAGCACGGCTGCTAACTACTATTACGTTTTCCATTTGCACTCGGGATTTGCTCGTCGTGGTTTTAACTATGAACAAAGGCGACTTCCCGGCAGGTCGGGGGAAGAGGCCGGCGGTCCCGGATAAAGTCGACATGTCCTTGGGTAAGCTGCTCGGTAGCTGTTACTAAAATAGAGCACTAGCTAATGTTAGCTGCTCTCTGGTGGGAGGCTGTCAGTGGCTAGCCGAGCTGGATAAATAGCTCCCGTTTGAGCCCCCAGGCGCCCTCATTGATCATTTCTCATGTGATAACCTCAACAGATGACATTATTCGGTTGAACAAAAGAGAGCAACAGTTAAAGAGGAGACAGGCCAACGTGAACCGCCGACCAGTCAAGAAGAAAGGCCGTTTAACCCAAGGAAAGGCGGTTCCGGGACCAGTCCAGAGAGGTGTGTGCTGCTGTTTACTTTATTAGTAAGCTCTGTCTGTCGAAGCAGCTCTGCATGAGTGTAATGTCGCTAAAATTATACTCACCAGGAGGCGGCCTACCCAGAGGAGGAGCACCTAAATTAAGGAACAGAAGGGTCCCACCCCTACCGGGGCGACGACGGGGTCAGGGGGTCATCACGGGCCTGGCAGCGAGGAGGCCGGCTGCCCTGATCAAACGAACCGGCACAATCAACAGAGCAGCAGTCACCCAGGTAACGGAGAAGGAGCTGCAATCACAGCACTGATATGAGCCTCTGAAACTGGCCTGAGACCCTGATTTGCAACACCTGCAGGTGGATTTGTTGTGTAAGTGCATTAAAAAAAAAAAAAACATCCATCCATCATCTCTACACCGCTTAATCCTCACTAGGGTGGTGGGGGGCTGGAGTCTATCCCAGCTGACTCAGGGTGAAGGCAGGTTCACCTGGACAGGTAACCAGTCT